GTGTTAGTCTATTTATATTAGGGTTTAAGGTTTAGGATTTAATGTTTATGGTTTAAGGTTTAGGATTTAAGGTTTAGGATTTAAGGTTTCTATAAAATTATATATTTTATTACTTTATATAGTTTATGCATATTATTTCTATAAACTATATAAGTAATTTACTTTATATAGTTTATATATATAGTATACATGGTTTATACATACATGTACTATAAGCTACATATATAGTTCAAGGGTTAGGGTTAAAGGTTTAGGGTTTAGTTTTTTTTAATAAACTATATACTTTATTACTTTATATAGTTTATGCATAGTATTTCTATAATATATATATATATATATATATATATATATAGATTACTTATATTAGTTATACATACATATATATACTATATTAATATAAGTTATAATTTATATACTATATATTTTATATAGTTTATACATATATAGTTTTTATACATACATATATATATATATATAGAAAATTAAAAGTAATTAGAATGTATACAAGATTAAATTGCATTGAATTGAAAATTCAAGAAGATATTTACAATTATACCATGACTAAAATGAAAGAAATAAAAAATCAAATACAAGTGGAAAAATAATGATTAGATTAAATTGCATTGAATTGAAAATTCAAGAAGATATTTACAATTATACCATGACTAAAATGAAAGAAATAAAAAATCAAATACAAGTGGAAAAATAATGATTGTTGGAGGAGCTTGAGGCTAATTAACCCAAAATATCTTTCCAAATAAAATCTCAATTCTCAATTTCTCTCTAAATTTTTCTATTCCCTCTAAAATTTTCAATTTCCCTCTAAATTCCCAAATAAAATAAAAAAAATTCACACAAAACAATCTTTATTTTAAATAGTTTTCTTCCACCACTCAATTTGAATAATATATATACTATATTAATATAAATTATAGTTTATAAACTATATAATTTTTATAGTTTATACATATACAATTTACATATATAGTTTATACATATAGTTCATATAAACATAATTTATATATATAACTTATAATAATTATATAGTTTATAATATAAATATAGTTTATATATAAACTTATATTATATATATATATTATATTTTTCAATTTTTTAAATGAATGTAATTTACTATATTTTTCATTATTTCTTCACATTTTACATTTATTTCGATTTAATCTTTTTTTTGTTTTTTAATTTATTTCAATTTAAGTCTTTCACTTTTATATGTATTCAATTTAGTCCTTAAATTTATATTTGCATCTTCATTTGACCCATTGTTAGTCGTTATTTATATTTTTGTAACTGGCCCATAACCTTTTAAATGTGTTTAACTTAATCCTTTTATATATTAATTTAAACCTTACATTTTAAATTTAATTCGATTTAGTCTCTTACCTATGTGTGTTGTTTAATTTAAATTTTAAAATTTTATTTGTAATTTTACATTTCTTCAATTTTATCCTTAAATTTATATTTTTTAGAAAATTGATCCATGGATATTTATTTTTCTCTTAATTTACTCGAAATCATATACAATTACAACTTGCAATTCAACAATCACGAAAGATGACAAAATAATTAATCCAAAAATAAAAACGACCCGGCATGAACTCAATTCATATCATGTAAACATCTGACCTAAATTTTATCTGTCAATGATGTGATCCGATCTGAACGAGATCCGACTGAAGCCACCCGAACCTGAATTAACCTGGTCTTTATCTGCTTCGGACATGAACTGTTTTGACCTGAATTGACATCGATCCGAACTAAAAATGATCTGATCTGAACCCGATCTGGATCTGATGTCAATTTTACCTGACTTGACCTGTATTCGATTTTAACCGACCTGACAAAATCCAACTGAAACTTAAACGATTACCCGATTTAAATCCCAGATGTCAATCATCACCCGTTCGTATCTCACAGCCGCCGTAGTTACCACTATCGGTTGCTCTCTCGAAGTATGTCACTTTTCCTTTTGTTTCCTTTTTAAAATATGCTCGTATTGCTTTTGTTCTTGTTTTGGTGTTATTTTTCTCTATCTGGGCAATAGGATTGAAATCGTGTCTTCAATTTTCATTGATTAATTAGTGCCTGCTTTTTAATTCATATGCAAAGGGGTATTGATATTTTCGGCAGATTTGATATGTGCTTGTCTCAGTTTTACAAATTTGGCGATTCCTAATTGGATTTTCCATATGGTTTTCCATTTTATCATTTATGCTTCGAAATTTATTTCTTGAGAAACTTAGTTGGGAATTCAAGCAGCAGGCAAAGCTAGCCAGTAGTTTGTTCCTCCTGTTTGATTTCTTCCCATTTTGGGTATAATAGACAATTGGGAATTATTGGCTTTCCATCCTGATTCAAAAAGAATTTTTTATATTATCGGGGATTGTCTTGCTAATCTAATTTAGTTCTGAATCCTTGCAGATAATATCACCATATCATCTGCACTTGAACTCGTTGTTAAGCAGTGTCAGTTCTGGCGCCTCATTACCAACTTGTTATACTTCCGCAAGATGGGTAAATTCCATGTGCTTTTACGTCCGAGCGTCAAGAAATCTCCGGTTTATTTTGCCTTTGGAACAATTCTGTGTTGTATGTTGTGCATGTTATTGCTAAAGGTGTAGAATGTTCCAATTGGAACAAGAGAGTTGTAGTGCTGTTCTTCACTTCATGGAAAATGAAGAGTCCGAGTAACATGGGTTTCTTTATGTCTGCCTTCTGCATTTAGTCAAAAGTATGCAAATGCAGTTGTGCTTTAGATTATTTTGTGCATTTAGATAATTTTTTTAAAGAAGAGTTGAGTCTATTGTCCATACCTCCGTCCTGCCCTTTTTGCTTCATTTCTTAGTTCATTCTCCCAGTGACATTAAACATCTTCAAAATTAATAGTGATTGTCCAGGCGTGTATATGTGATAACTTCAATCTGATTGAAGCTGGTATTCTCAAATCATTTTATATATTTAACACGGTATCCTTTGATAATGCCAGATTTGGATTTCATGTTTCACATGTTCTTTCTTGCACGGTATTGCAAGCTTCTCGAAGAGAACTCTTTCAGGGGAAGGACTGCAGATTTCTTTTACATGCTCTTGTTTGGAGCTTCTGTCCTAACTGGCATTGTTCTTATTGGAGGAATGATACCTTATCTATCAGCATCATTTGCCAATATCATATTTCTAAGCAATTCATTGACATTCATGATGGTAAGCATGTTTTCCTTCATCTAGATGCAAAATATGGTTTACTAGTAGTGTATGTTTTCTGGTATTAATTTTGGAAGCCATCTTATCGCACTACACATTGTAGGTTTATGTGTGGAGCAAACAGAATCCTTTTATACATGAGTTTTCTGGGTCTATTTACCTTCACAGCAGCTTATTTACCCTGGGTAAGTACCTTTATTCATTCTATCCTTTTTTCTTTCATTGTTCTTCGATTATCTATTTTCTAGTTCAAAGGCTGCTATGGTGGATTTCCCATTGGACTAAAGTTTTACTATTCTTATTTATGTTTGTGATCGTGATCCTACTTCTAGTTAAAGAATGTGATTGCTTCCTTTCCCTGTATTTCAGGTGCTTTTAGGATTCTCTGTCCTTGTTGGTGCTAGTGCTTGGGTGGATCTCCTGGTACGCTTCCTTACAGTGCCTGTTATGTGAATCTTTTGCATAATTCCAAAAACCATTGTAGCATGTTGAGCCAATTGGATTGAGCTATATTTGTATAATAAAGCCTTTTCCATCTATGCTCGCTGATGTGGGGGAGTATGTCCGTCTGTTGAACTGTGAGACTGCCATATAATTATGCTGTAATCCTTATAAACTTCCACCTGTTCTAGTCTCACTTTGCTTAGATCCTCATCGCTGCCATATTCTACTTTTGCATCTTGTCGGTTAACAGTTATCATTGTTACTTTTGCGGCTTTTGTTTTATGAAACCAAATATTGTGTTTATCCAGGGAATGATTGCTGGTCATGCCTACTATTTTCTCGAAGATGTATATACAAGAATGACTGGTCGTCGACCCCTAAAAACCCCATCCTTTATTAAAGCCATGTTTGCTGATGATGCCGTGGTTGTAGCACGACCAGCAAATGTTAGATTTGCTCCACCACCTGCAGATGAACGTCCACCCTTTGAAAACTAGAGCAATTTTTGGTTGAATCTATCTCCGAGAGGAAAGGCCTAAAAAATTTCTTGATTGGCCTATTTCTTAAACATGTAGCTTTAACATGCTAAATTGCTGATCATGGACAATACATATTTTGGTAGAATTAGAGGGTTGTATATCTGATGTTGCTACTTGCGCTATATGTGCAGAATTGGGATGAAAAATTGTAACTATTACTTGATTGAGTGCTTTTTGTTGTTATAGAATGCCCTTCCTTTTCGTATATATTTGCGATATTTCAGGTTGTTGCAGATATTTTCGCCAACAAAGAGGCAACTTTTTCCCTTGCAACTTTGTTAATTACAACGCTGGTTTATTCAAGTAAAGCTGCAATTTTACCCTTTATTGTTTACTAGTTTGTCATTCAACTTAAATTAGTTTATTGGTGGTCTCCATCCCTAGTCCCTAGTCCCTATGGCAGCTGCGCACGTGACTGACATGACATTGTGGCCAGAGTTCCACCCCAAAAAAATATCTAACCACCTGCATTTAAGGATCGTTTGAATACAACCATTTTACCAACTAGGAAGCCTTTTTTAGATTTACAGCCAAAAAAAAGTACAACAAACAAGTTCTTGTGGTTAACTTGTTTTCGGTTGAAGCCTGTTTGTTGTCTGAATGCGTATCTTCCACTGTAGTTCTTTGTCAACTTTAAGTTCACAGCTGTTCTACAATTTAGATTCAATAATCTCACCAACAAATAGATAAGGGAGAACTGCAGAGCTGTAGAGAAAATGCACATAATATTCAACCAAATGAATGCAATATAATGTTTATTTCCAGGGAAAATTTTGTAGTTTTCAATTACAGCCATACTTCACGCCTAATTCAACCTTTCTTACTTGGAATCAACTTTTGTTACAGAAATGTTCCCCAGGGTCAATTCCCAGACCACAAAAAGAGGCCTACAATATAATAAAATCTAATCATTGACTAGGACACCGGTTCCAACTTCAGGCAGCCCTTGCAAGAACCTCAACTCTATCAGGCACATCCGCAGGGTCTATATAGAAACCAGCCCTCCTGAAAGACCTTGGCACGGTTACTTTCAAGACCCCATCTTCATATTTAGCTGATATTCCATCGATATCTACCGAACCAGGCAGTCGGAATTTCCTCATGAAGTTCTTGGTTGGCTCCGTCGAATCATTGATTCCCTCGGTCCTAATTATAAGATATCTCGAGTCTTCAACTTCCACTTTTATCTCCTCCTTCCTCACACCTGATATAAAAAACAAAAAATGACATGAAACAAAATCCTAAGTACACAAACTAACAAGGTAGAGGAAAAGAAAACAAGGGATTAAAATAATTGTCTATGTCAAAGAGTTACCGGGAAGATCAGCAGAGTAAACGTGTGCCTCTGGGGTTTCAGTCCAACTAACATAGTTCTCAGGAACAATCTGGTTGGAGAAAAGGGCAGGAGATACAAGCGAATAATGCAAGGGAGAAGGTTGATTTGCCGGGAAAGGAGCCTCCATTTTCTGATGAGAGGAAGTTTTTTTGGCTGCCTAGTCGGATGTATGAGGACAGGGGTTGGTTTATATAAGGAGATAGAAAGATAAGTTGCCTTGTCTGCACCATTTTTTACAGGCCAAGTGGGCAAGTTGATGCCGTGGGGCCTTTTAATTGGGACCTTATTGGATACCCAAAGTTTCAAACTTTACGGGACGTAATTAAGAGGTTTATTTCTTGAGAGAATTGGATGAATCTCAATATTTGATTGTGAGGTCCTGATGGAAAAAGGGTTGTGTTTGAAATGGCAGACTTGACCTTGAATGACGTCTGAATGTGAAATTTACTCCTCCAAGTCTACGGCTGTCGAAGATGACACATTCATTTCACCATACTTACACATAGAGCTCCTGTGGGCTTCAATCTCAGTTATTGAAGCATGCAAGTCCTTGTTAGCATTAGGATTGGATGTTATCCATGTATAAAACTCAGTAATGGATCCTATTCATATTGTAGGATGATAAAGGAGGAAAAACATGTGTGAAAATGATAATTCTTTAATAGATAGATGCTCTAGGAAGAGTTTTATTACTGCGGTAAAAAGATACAAAATTGTTAATCTCATTGAAACCATCAAACTGTGTCCAACAAAAGTAATGATATGTGCCACCAAGGCAAAACCTAAGCAGAATAATATCCAGAAGTTTCACAGCCAGAGGGAGAACATAAAACTCGCGTACAAGCATTGTTTTTTATTAATCAGAAATGACGGAATAATAATGAAGTTTACATCAACTGGTTGGTAATTCCACTCAATTAAATTTAGATTTTCATTCCCACATTGTCTCTCAGGCAATACATGATCAGTAGGTAAGACGATGAAGAGCATACAATATATGTTTCTAGAATAAAATCATTAAAAACTTTAGGTTCTAGCGTCAGCTAATGCATGAAACTTGAGTCAGGTGTTTACCCCAAGCACAAATCCGTTGCTGTAAGAAGGAAGATTGGTGGAAGAATTGTGATTCTTCACCGGAGATCGGAAGGGATTTGGTGTCACAGGGTGGGTGATATGCAGTCCAGCACCACGTAGAACCTGTTTATCATTTGCGCACAAAATTTCTGACGGCTCAGTAAAGAAAGCAGGGACGCCGATGGCTTGAATCAAATCAAGAGCACCTATCCAATTGGAGTACCTATCCAATGCACAGTTCAGTGCAACTATAACATGGGGTGAAGGCAAGTAGGTGGCTTCTTCCTGATAAACACCCCTTACTAGATTCACCCTAACTCTGCTGCTAATTCCTGATGTTGTACCTGACAAGCTCGTCGGAACTTCAGGTCCAACCATAACTATTTGTATATTTCCCAACCCGTTTAATAAGTGACCCATCTCAGCAAATGCAGGCATCCAATCCATCTCTCCTTCTGGCCCCAGGTAGTGTAGAATCACCTCCTTTCCTTTTAGCAAAAGATTCTTTGAATTAATACTTAGAGCTGTCAATATATAATATACCGTCAAAGGGTGGGAAAGGATATCAGCAACGAGACTCGACAATGGAAGAGATCGAAGGTTATAGTACTCGGACCAACCAGAGAGTAGGATAGGGCTGGTGATCCCATCTCGTACTTGATTGCGAAAGGGTAAATCACCGGGGTATTCTTCCTCATCTAGCCCACCCCAGGATTCCCATAGACCACCTTTAACTGGCAGGAGACCAAAAGGGCAGTGTGAATAACAACTGCACTTCCTTCTCCACATCCCTTTCTGATGGATACCCAATGATTCAAGCCATTTACAAGGTTGGTCAGCTGAGCAAGGGAACATGAAAATTTTCATTACAAGCTCTTCTTCCCTTTCCATCATAGCTTTGTACAGACCACACATGCTTTTATGTGATTCCTTCCAGTGTTGCTTTTGGCAGAGAGAAGTACAGTAGACCACTGCTCGACATCTCCCACAGCAGAGAGACTGTTCTCCATTAACTTCTTTCTCACACATTGCACAATACCTGCTGGAATTTGAGTTTACTCTAATATCCTTGAAGGTGGCCTCATCTGGTGGCTCTGCATACTTGGTTGGTGTTGAGCTGGCTGTTGAACTCGTCTTTTCTTCATATGCCTGACCAGGTGGATGAGAGATTGTAACAGCAACAAGTTCATGACCTTTAGCTATTTCTGGAGGCCACTGAATGTCAACTGTTTCAATAAAGGGGTCGAAACATATCAACCTTGTCCAGTTTGAACCACCTTCTTTATCTGCCTGAAGCAATGGGTGCACCAGAGAAATGGCTCTCATGAAAGCATAGACGAACTTTAGTTCTTCCAGGGTAGGATTCCTAAACTGAAGCTCACCTGAAGATGTGCAGCGTGTGACATCAATAACAGGGAACCGATCGTTCCCAGATGCTTCCAGTGACAATGACTTGATCATCTTGCGGTTGGAAGGAAACATTAACTTCTCAAGCTCATATGTAACCCTCAAAAGCTCAACATTTGGAACTCGAATGGTCTCCCTCGAGCCTGTCATCTTCTTAGCATCATTTTCAGATCTAAACATATAAAACCCAATATCCCCACCATCTCCTCCAATGAACTGGGAACAAGGAAAAGGCTGTTTTTTCCCATACCAATCTGAATCTTTCCCGACTCGGATACCAAACAGGTGTCCAGGGCGCAATCTCCTCCAAGGTTCAGTTCTGTATAGGGCTGCAGAGGCTTTAAATAGTGACTTTATAAAATTAGAAGAAATGCCTTCCACCTTCATAAGGCATGTCCCAGATCCAGGACCGAGGCCAGGACCAGATCCAAATTGCTCCTGGAATCTATCGAACAGGTTCTTCAAATGTAAATCCATTCGGACTCTAGTATGAAATCTAGTAAAATCCTTGATGAATTAGAGAACGAGACAGAAAACAACAATTCCAGTGACAAAGAGGAAACCAATCAAAACTCAAAAATCGCATAAGCAATCACTTTAAACCCAGAATTTTCTCCTGGAAAGACACTCTAAATTCAGTAACGAGCAGCTACTACACCAAGAAATTGTTGATTACCAGACAAAACAAAATGAAAAGTTAAAGACAAGAATTGAAGCAGACAATTACCTCAATTTCGAAGACTAAAGGTTAAAATTCCAGACCATGACTTAGTTGCACTTTAGATTTCTCCCTCAACATTCAGATTCAAAAGACTGAAGTAGCTTTCTAGATCCCTTTCAGACCGTAGAGTTAGAGCAAGTACACCGCATACTTATAAGACCAAAATAAAAAAGTTTATTTTAAGTGAAGAAGACCTGTGATTATCATGACTAAATCAACTACAGTTAGAGTTCACAAATCGGAAAGTTATCAAATCATCAAATATACCTTAAATAACATATTTTATATTTACTGTGATCCTAAAAATAGCCAAGGACAGGAAAGTTAAAAGGAAATGAGATAATATATACAATTTTTGTTTAAATAACTAAAATTAGTTAGGAAAACAAAAGGTTTAATGACTTTGTTTGCCCTATTTTTTTTTAAAGAAAAATCACCACAACTAAAATAATATTTAGTTACTGTTTTAATTACATACTTTTATAGAATAATTAACATATACATTAGGGGATAAAACATATTTCACATTTAAAAAAATTCCCCGAGCACAGCGAATTCATTGAGTGCAGAAAGTGAACACTTGTCTACATTCAAATCCGATTTTTTTCTATCGATCGTCTATTTTATTGATGATGTCCCTGCTGAAATTTTATTTTTATCCATCCCATTTAAAATTTTTATACAGATAAACAATACGTATTTATTCCCAAAAAGATTTATGAATCGACCACTGTCCGAACGTAAAGATAGCTAGCGATTATATATTTTACAAAGAGTGTTGCAGAATTTCTGTCCATTTTATGAATACAATTACACATTTGACGATTTCTCCTAGATCCATCCACAAATTTCAATTACAAAAAGATAGGGCCAAGTTTAGAACAACATTACAGAGTGAGGCAATGGGTATCGAGCACGCACACACAACGTTGTCGTAGACTGCAAGATGTTTAAGGTAGATCGCAGAGATTGCAAACAATCCAAATTTGAGAAGAAAAAAAAGGTACCTAAATTCCACCACAATGTCACCTACTCTCAGTCATGAATTAACACTAATGACTTGTAAGGCTCGTTTCGTTTCTGCTTTTAGTTTGTCAGCTAAAAACCTAAGATTGTGCTTGTGGAATGCCATCTTTTTCATTAGATTCCACACTTTTAGTGTCAGCAGCCCTAACAGTAACGTACATTTTTGGAAGAAGAAATTCTTCAGCAGCAGGCTTGGTCTCAGATGGGATAGTTGCGGCAGCCTCACTTGCAGATGTGAGACGTACCACCTCCACCAACACTCTTCGTAGCAAGCTCCAGTTCAGTCTCTTGAGAAATATCTCTGTCTTGCATTGATGACGGAATGTTTTTCCAATATTTTGGTTCGAGTGGGTTCACTAGCATCGGCTTGAGGTTCAGGTTCAGGTTCAAATAACTTGGGAGTTTGGCTGTTACCAAGGTCAAGGCCAGGGTTTTAAAAAACGGTCCGCGTCCGTGATTTCGGCCGCGATACGGTTTCGCCGCCGTCCGAGTTACCCGCGACAGCCGCAATAGCGCCCGCGACGGCCGCAATCACGGTAAATCCGAAATAACCGAAAACGCGACCGCGATTTGAACATATGGCCCTGTATTCAACTTGATGCTTCAGATCCACAGTCTCAGTCGCTGGCCAATTAGCAGTAAATGCTGCAAACACAGGCTCAGATGCATTAAGTGTCTCTACGTTGATTGTTGGTCCTTTCATCAGCTCGGAGGCTTCAAATCCCGTATCATCATTAAACAATTCCTGTGGCTTAAGATCAGAACATACGGCCCCGTCTTCAACTTGAGACTCATGATTTAGAGTTCCAGTTGCAGGCAAAGTAGCAGTAAATGTTGCAGACACTTGCTCAGATGCATTAAGTGACTCTACGCCAATGTTTGTCCTTTCATCAGCTTGGAGGCTTCAAATCCCATATCATCATTAAACAATTCCTGTGGCTTAAGATCAGAACATACGGCCCCGTCTTCAACTTGAGACTCAAGATTTAGAGTTCCAGTTGCAGGCAAAGTAGCAGTAAATGTTGCAGACACTGGCTCAGATGCATTAAGTGCCTCTACGTCAATGTTTGGTCCTTTCATCAGCTTGGAGGCTTCAAATCCCATATCATCATTAAACGATTCCTGTGGCTTAAGATCAGAACATACCCCGTCTTCAACTTGAGACTCAGGATTTAGAGTTCCAGTTGCAGGCAAAGTAGCAGTAAATGTTGCAGACACTGGCTCAGATGCATTAAGTGCCTCTACGTTAATGTTTGGTCCTTTCATCAGCTTGGAGGCTTCAAATCCCGTATAATCATCACAAAACAATTCCTGTGTTTTAAGATTAGAATAAACAACCCTGGCTTCAACTTGAGGGTTCAGATTTACTTTCTCAGATGCTGGCAAAGTAGCAGTAAATGTTGCAGACACTGGCTCATATGCATTAAGAACCTCTATGTTATTATTCGGTCCTTTCATTAGCTTGGAGGCTTCAAATCCCAGAAGAGACTGATCCTGTCCTGCAGCTTTATCATTCTGCACTTCAGTATCTAAGATTTGTTCTTGCAGGGCCTTTTGCCCCGTGGGAAGACCTTTTACAAGACCATTTTCTGGAACATTAGGTGCATCATTTTTAAACTCAACAGACTTCTCACTATTCCTTGATGAACTCACAACATGGAGATGATCCTGCGCATTTCCAGATGGGATAGAAATCGTTTTTCTTTCGTACATCTTAGCATCCGGATCTACATCATTTTCAGCAGTAATTGGAGTGAGTCGCCCTGGTAGAAATGCAAGACCTCTAAGGTGCGTGTTGGTAACACCCACCTTAACACTAAGAAGATATCCATCATCAAATGAACCTTCAATGACACCAGAAACCATCTGACCAACCATGTCATCAGAGGTAGGGTCACTTGTTCCCACACTCTGCTTGTTTTCGAGATTCTCATATGGATGTGTCAAAGGTGTGCTGTCTCCTTGAATACTACTATCCTTGCGTGGACACCCACGTCTCCGCTTCGTAGGGGGATATGCTGCCAGAGATAAACTTGCTCCTCGACTCTGGTTACTCATCCTCCACAATTGGATGCAAAATTTCCTTTATACAATCTTTTTACAATTTACAAATCCTTTTACAATAATCTTCCTGAGCTTACCTGCAGTCACAAGAGTATTTAATACCTTTGTCATCAATATGCCAACACAAGAATTGAGTACACACGGAAGATGGTGCAAAACATAGTTGATCAAGACTAGCACCACTTCTTTTGCCATGCTAGTAAATCATATTTCACAATAATCAAATATGCCAAACTAAAAAAAATCAAGAAATCCTCTCAAGTATTATAAACATAAAGATTGCCTATTCAATGGAATAGCTAAGTGTTCTCTTGGAGTAGGCCCAGATTTTGGCCTAAAATTTTGGTTTTAATGAGCATTCAATGTGAAGAAGGAATTAGATTAATGTCTTAATTTCCACAAGTAATGGATGGTAATATAGATTTGAACAAGATCACCTGCTCAGAGAAGAGCTACTAGTGATGAAGATAACCATATCAAGAAGGTCATCTATGCAATTGGTAGATTCTAGAACCAGCCAGATGGGTGCAAATTCAAATATGACAAGTCATCGTGATATCTTACACAGACGCTTCACAAAATTTGGGCACCGAAGCAGATGACAAACTTTCAAAACGCTTCAAGATTGTCTTTCTGTTTAAGAATGTTGACGAGTTTTAAACTTAATCGATACAACTAGCCTTTTTAGTTATTGGGTAAATTCCAAATATAGACGTCTAAGCATGACCAAGAAATTCTGGTACAGATTTGATGCATGATGAACAGTCAAATTTCAAGTCATAGGTGTTGCTTGTTTGTCTATTCTTTTTACATTTTGCCTAAAGCAATTTACTGGTTGACCTTATATGAATGGTACTGCTAAACAAATTACCCATTTTTTGTCCATGATTTTGAAACAGCTTCCTCTAAACAATCTCCAACATGAAGTGATACTCAATAGAGCTACCCTTTTATGTAAAAGAGAATACATGGAAACTAACAATTACGGGCCAATATGAAAGGGACAGTTCTAATAACAAACATAAAAAGCAAGAGATCATTCTATAAAACAACGCAGAGCAACTTATATTTTCGAAGAAGGCAACCTTCCCTTTCTCCTCCCCCCCCCCCAACAACAGAACTGTGTTGTTCTTGGATGAGAAAAACAACCCCAGATAGGAGAAAAGTTTAGCCCATAATCGTAACCCAAATCAGCAAGATTAAAAATACGAGCACCATCTTGAACATATTTCCGGTTACAACGGGTGCAAAAAAAGAACATAACAAATGAACTATCTTCTTCACAGTATAAACAGGCAAATGACTCTTGCTAAGTTATGAACTCACACGCAATCCCCCCCCCCCCAACCCAAAGAATAAAAAATCTTTTGCTCAATCCATCAAAACAAGAAACACAGTGATCAGAACGCAAACACGCCTGGTGGGACACGAACCCACAATCGTCTGATTAGAAGTCAGACGCCTTATCCATTAGGTCACAGGCGCCGGGTGTTCAAGGCCTATGTGTATATTATATAAAACTACTAAATAAAAGGTGGGTCCTAAAATAATTTCGTGGCGCGTGTGTGTTGTCCACGAGACCTCCTAGCAATATCGTAGTCAGGAAAAAATAAAATTATAAAATAGAAAGCAGAAGTTCCAGTTTTGATTCCCTTTTATTTATATAGTGTTTTGTTTTATGCTGCTTTTTCTTTCTCTATCCTGAAACCACGCAGCTGTAACCATGTCTTCCTTGCTAGCCAACGGCATCTCGAGCTTCTCAGCACGGCCTACCACAGATTCAACCAAGTCTCCTAGAGGGTTTTACCCAAAGCTCGATTTCGTCAAACCCATAACCTCAAAACCCCCAAACTCGAGGCTTACAAAGGTCAGAGCAGATGTTGGTTTCGATTCTCAAACCCTCACGTCCGATCCCAGCACTTCATCAGGTAAGTCCTATGATGAGAAAATCCTGGAAATTCTTCGAAATCGTGATTATGATAAAAAATTTGGCTTTACTGTGGATATCGATTCGTTTGCGATACCCAAAGGGCTTTCTGAAGAGACAATTCGTTTAATTTCTTCTCTGAAGGAAGAACCTGATTGGATGGTGGAGTTTAGATTGAATGCTTATGAGAAATTTTTGAAAATGAAAGAACCCAAATGGTCTGATAATCGGTACCCGCCAATTAATTTCCAGGATATCTGTTATTACTCTGCGCCTAAAAAGAAGTCAACTTTAAATAGCTTAGATGAGGCTGATCCTGAGCTTTTAAAGTACTTTGATAGGTTGGGTGTGCCTTTGAATGAACGTAATCGATTGGCTAATGTTGCCGTCGATGCTGTTCTTGATAGTGTTTCAATTGCTACTACTCATCGGAAGACTTTAGAAAAGGCTGGGGTCATTTTTTGTTCGATATCTGAGGCAATAAGGGAGTACCCTGATTTAGTTAGGAAATATTTGGGGAGAGTTGTGCCTAGTGACGATAACTATTATGCAGCTTTGAATACAGCTGTTTTTAGTGATGGGTCATTCTGTTATATTCCAAAGGATACGAAATGCCCTATGCCGATTTCAACTTATTTCCGGATTAATGCATTGGAAACTGGGCAGTTTGAGAGAACCTTGATTGTTGCTGATGAGGGAAGTTTTGTGGAGTATTTAGAAGGATGTACGGCACCTTCTTATGATAGGAATCAGCTTCATGCTGCTGTTGTTGAGTTGTATTGTGCTGAGGGTGCAGAGATTAAATACTCCACTGTGCAGAACTGGTATGCAGGTGACGACCAAGGAAAAGGTGGGATTTATAATTTTGTTACTAAGCGCGGAATTTGTGCTGGTGATCGATCGAAGATATCTTGGACGCAAGTGGAGACAGGGTCTGCTATAACTTGGAAGTACCCAAGTGTTGTTTTGGAGGGTGATGACACTGTGGGAGAATTTTACTCTGTGGCACTCACGAATAACTATCAGCAGGCTGACACAGGTACAAAAATGATACACAAGGGGAAGAATACAAGAAGTCGGATTATCTCGAAGGGTATATCTGCTGGAAATTCAAGAAACTGTTATAGGGGGCTGGTTCAGGTTCAATCAAAGGCTGAGAACGCTAAAAATTCCTCACAATGTGATTCAATGCTTATTGGTGATAATGCTGCTGCAAACACCTATCCTTACATTCAGGTGTGAATATTTGATTTATTGGCAATTTTCTCCGATATCATGTTAAAATATTTGTATGTACAAGTTTTTATTGCCACCTATTTTATGATTTTACATTTTTTGTAAGTGGGATGAACCCCCTTCTTTTATTTGCTTTCCTGTTTACGCTTGGTAATATACTGCTGCAAAATTTAAGCTGTTGGATTGATATTTTCCCATACATGTGTTCTCCCGTCTATCCAACATCTTGTCATCTGTGTCCAACTGTCTATTACTCTTTGCTGAAACAATGTTTACTCCCATACTGTGCATGCTCCATAATATCGACCCATAACCATGTTTGCTATCATAATCTTTGTTTACCAGATAGAGCTCCTTTATTTGACCCAAAGAAAGCAATGGAATGCCAGTCGGGATAGAATTTTATTCTCATTCTTGTTTTGGCACAAATCTGCTTTTGATGTTTGTATTGTAATAGTGATTTCTTTTAAAATTGAATTACGTTCCTATGTAAGACTCTGTTGTTATTTGTTGCATCAAGAAGGTAGGAGCTCCATTTTGTTGATTATGACTGGATTGTGTTTATTTAACAGGTTAAGAATCCCTCAGCTCGTGTTGAGCATGAAGCCAGCACATCGAAAATAGGTGAAGATCAGTTATTTTACTTTCAGCAGAGGGGAATCGAGTATGAGAAGGCCATGGCTGCCATGATTTCTGGGTTTTGCCGTGACGTTTTCAATGAACTTCCAGATGAGTTCGGTGCCGAGGTGAACCAACTCATGAGTTTGAAGCTCGAGGGATCTGTGGGTTAAGCCATGATGCAGGTTTTGGTCAATTGATGCCATGTTGGATAATTAATTACTTTTGTCAATGAATTCCCTAACGGTCAAGTTCTTAGGAGTCTTTTTATGAATGGGTAGCTAGCTTTGATGTATTTTGCCATTCTCAAGGTGCTGTTTTGAACACTAAAAATATACATATTTGAGAACTATGTATACCTGTCTATACTATATACCCTGAACAACTCTATAATATACATCTTAGAAGTCCGTTTTGGGTATTGCTGTGAATAGGAAGTTTCTCTTGGTATTCCAGTCATCGTCTTTTAGACTAAGCTTTTTATACACTGTCGGTGTAAGTTTATTAAAACCAACAATGTTAGAATGTTGTTATATGTCCAATTAGAAAGTCAACAACTACATTAAAAAAAACTTAGTTGTAGTTTCCAGTTTATCCCTCGAACCATGATCTGGAAATTCGTATAATAATAAATTAAACTTTAAATATTTACGGAAGACTTGCTGTTGTTTACTAAACGTAAAGTTGATTCCGTTCGAGCAGTTTGTAATGTGTTGAATTTCCTTCACGAAATATCAGGGCTACAAATGAATAATTCAAAAGTGAAGTATATAGCTCAGGTATTGATCACATTGGAGTTTAGGAGATTATAGAACTCACAGGGCTCAAGCTGGGCAGCTCTCTGTTACATACCTTGGAGTTCCCCTCGTGAAGCTCGGACTGTGATGAACTTATTGAGAGAATAAACTGCAAAATAAGAAGCTAGCATGCCCGTCTTTTTTTTTACATAGGTAGGATGTGATATGTTACAGTATCCCACACTTAAAAAAAAATCTGCTAATAAAAAAATTATTTTACCAAAAAATTTGTTATCATTCCTTTATTAATTCTCATGATAGAGTTAAAAAAATCTTTAAGTTTTCTTCTTTATTATCTCAATAAGTGAATAGTAATCATTTCTTCTTAAAAACTCACTAAAATCATGATGACTAACGGAAAAAAAATCTTATTTATATTTATCCTAATTTCAATCTTCTTCATTATCTAAAACCCAAAAAGGAAAATTCCTACTACTACCACTACTACTTTTAATTAGTGTTTTGAAGGTTGAATTTTTAATTGAAGAATTTGAAAATTTTGAGAATTTGAAAATTGTTTCTTCTCTAATTTGATAATCCTGTTGAAGACTTGCAATTCCGCTGTTTCAAAGTTTTATTCTTCTAAATTTACAGGTTCTTTTGATCATTATGGTTTTTAGTTTATCACTTGATCTCTTTCTTTGAGAATTTGATTATGGGTTTTGCAATTAGAAAACATGATTCCGGATGTGAAAAACGTAAGGAAAAAAAAACAAGAAGAGTTAACACAATCTCAAATAGGAGCTCTATAACACCTCAAATTTTGGGCTAGTAGTTTCATGTTTACCCCGAGAGGTTTGTGGATCTCATTGAGTTCATAATTAAAGTCGTTAGGTCGAGTGTGAGCTTAATTGGGTTGGAATTGAGCCCAATTATCCATCTTCTTAGAAGTTGGGATTTAGAGGTGTATATCCCCAAGAAAATGCATTTGTGACGTAGAGTAGTGTACATTGCAGTCATTAATCGTGTGTGATGGATTAATTAACTTTTAAGAATTAAGTTGAGGTGCTAATTGTGCGTGATCAATGGATGAGTGTCCCTAATGTGAGTGTGTCTAGGCCCATCCAAAGTAACTTTGTTAGTATATATACTTGTAGGGTGTAATCCTCCCGCGATTCTGTATGACCCCAGACTACACCTTAAAGTATTCTTGTGTGGTTAAATAAGAGTTTGAGTTTTCGACCCCGAAATGCATCCTTGTTTCCTTCGTGTTAGTATAAGAGCGTGATCTATATGCATGCCTAGTCTCAAGCGATGTCGAATACCCCGATGGATTTTAGTGCTTGTGGCTAAAGGCAACCAAGTACCTTAAGAGTTGGTTGACTAGCTGTAATATCCCATACCCGGGTACCTGAGCGTACATATATTTCGATCATGTCGACATAAAAAATCCTAAAACATGTGTACTATGTAGAAGCATTCAAATTTAAATCATACAACACACAACACGTGGCAGCGGATAACAACAAATAATTTAAACTATCGTAACAACCAGAACAATGCATGATAATCACAACCAATTTAGACAGGGGTAAATTAGTCATTTTGCATAACCAAATATTTCAAAATTAAAATACCAAATTAAGTTTACTAAAATTCAATGCTAATCATTAATTACTCATGTGAAAATTCCTATATTTATCGGACATCAAACAGGGACCTTGTAACATCCCAAAATAGGGTATGATAGTTTGGGTCGATAGTTAGGTCGACTTCTAGATTTTCACAAAAATGATAATCTGGTATTTTTGACGTAATAAATAATTTTGAAAGTGGTTTAATATGTTTAAATGGTTCGGAGTTATTAATTTCTATTTTTGGAAATTAATAATTTAATTGTAATAGGTGACTAAATTGAATAATTTTAAAGTTTTGATTTTAGTGACTAAAATGTAAAGATCACAAAATCAAAAATATATGAAGCCTATTTTACCAAGGTTTATGGTTAACGTTTTCCCTCCTAAGTTAATTGTGTCTTAATTCTTCCTTTTTGCTCAAATTCCATCTAGATTCATTTTCTAATCTTTTCTAATTTTCATTTTGGTTTTATGATTAACCGTTCATTTCTTTTTTCACAATTTTCTATCGTATCTCTTTTCTATCAAAATTCTTTCAAGCTTTCTCTCATGGTTGAAACCTTTTTCATTCTTTTTCAATTCTTTTGTTATTGATTATCTATATCTTTCATTTTAATTCTCTTTTCAAAGACAAGATTGTTCATCTTCTTTTTCTTTTGTTTTTGTTTAATCCTCTTTTGTGAATGTCATTGATGATCATTCTTTTCCTTTATTCTCTTTTCCAACAAGGTAATGATTCTTCCTTGGTTCTTTTTATTGCTTCAACGATTAATGATCTATGTGATTGATGTGTTTGATTTATCAATCTTTTCTAAAGAGGATTTATGGATTTAAAGATGATTTTCGGAGATAATTAAAGAGCTATTTTTCTTGAGTTGATTTTGAGGTTTTATTGACATAATTGATATGTTTTTGGAGAGATTAAAATCATATTAAACCAATTTTTCATTTGATTATGGTTTGGATATCGATTTCTTAAAAACAAGTGAGATTTTGGTTTTTTTTTTGGAAATCTTGGAATTGATTGTGGTTATCGCTGATTTGGACGGTTTAAGTAGTTATTATGAGTTAATTTTAGTTGTTCTTTATTACTTTAGGTGAGGAAAAGTGGTGTTAAGGTGTTAGGAAGCTTTGGTTACAATATCGGTAAGTTATTCGGTTGTTTCGATGTTTTTCACTCTATTTTGGTAGCATAATTTTTTGTTCTATTTTGAGTGTCTTTTTTATGTGTTAACTTGCTTTTCAAGGTGTTTGATAAATTGGTTGTTGAGGGAAAATAGTGCTTAGTGTGTTGTTGATCGTTTTTCTTAGCGGACAACAAAGGTGAGCGAATTTCATTCTTTGTGCATGGACTTGTTCAAAGGTGAAGGGAGGTGTACTGTAAATTGAATCTTAATCTAGAACTCAAATATTGATAAATCTATATTTGTGCATTTATTGAATTTGTGATGTGACATAAATTGTGAATGTGATATGTGATGTAATATCCTAAATTTTATCTAGTGACTAAAATATAAGTTTTAAAAGTTTGGTGACTAAAGTGTAAACTTTAAAAAGTTTAGGGATTAAAAATGTAATTTTTAAAAGTTGTATATTTTAGCCCGTAAATGAATAGTTTGGCCTAAAATAAGGATTTTCGTGTGAATCAAATTTTCGGTACGTGATTTGTGTTAAAAGCTATAAAGTAATAAAATTCGATATTGAAATCGGATAATGGAAGTGGGAACGAATTACTATGGATTTCGTGACAGGCTTACCTTTGACACCCAGTAAGAAAGACTCGATCCGGGTGATTATGGATAGATTAACTAAAGCATCATACTTTATTCCAGTTCGAGAAGATTACTCGATGGATAAGTATACTAAATTATATATCAATGAGATAGTACGACTTCATGAAGTACATGTCTCAATAGTTTCTGATAGAGACTCGAGATTTACTTCGAGATTTTGGAAGTCTCTACATGAAGAATTGAGAACTTGACTGAACTTCAGCACAGCTTATCATCCTCAGACAGATGGTCAATCTGAGCAAACCATCCAGATACTTGAAGAGATGTTAAGGGATTGTGTTATTGATTTCAAAGGATCATGGGAAAAGTATTTACCTTTAGCAGAGTTTTCTTATAATAACAATTATCATTCGAGTATCAAGATGGCTCCTTTTGAAACATTGTATGGAAGGAAATGTCGTATGCCATTGAATTGGTTTAAACTAAAGAATCGAGACATAATTGGTTTAGATCTTATCAAAGAGATGGAACATAAAGTGAAAGTAATTCAAGACAATCTCAAGATAGTTGTGGATAGACAAAAATCGTATGCTGATCTTAAAAGAAAATAGATTGAATTTCAAGAAGGTGATAAGGTATTTCTTAAAGTATCACCTTGGAAGAAAGTTCTGAGATTTGCGCGCAAAGGGAAGTTGAGTTCAAGATTCATTGGCCCATACAAGATCATAAAGAGAGTTGGTTCGGTGGCTTATCAATTTGCATTACCTCCGGAAATGGACAAGATTCATAACTTGTTTCATGTATCGATGCTTTGGAAGTATCGATCGGATCTTTCGCATGTAATTACACTAGAGGAAATTGAGATTCAACCAGATCTATCATATGAAGAGGAACCAATTAAAATTTTAGCTCATGGAGTCAAAGAATTGAGGAACAAGACGATTCCACTGGTGAAAGTTCTATGGCGGAACCATAAAGTTGAGGAAGCAACATGGGAACAAGAAGAGGACATGAAAAAATAGTTTCCTCGTCTATTTACTTTAGGTATTTAGATATGTATGGAAAATTCGAGGACAAATTTTCTTTAAAGGGTGAGGAATTGTAATACACCAAATTTTGTCTAGTGACTAAAAGTAAGTTTTGAAATTTAGTGACTAAAGTGTAAACTTTAAAAAGTTTAGTGACCAAAAATATAATTTTAAAAAATTATATATTTTAGCCTGTAAATGAACCATTTTGCCTAAAACAAGGCTTTTCATGTGAATCAGATTTTCGGTACGAGATTTGTATTAAATGCTATAAAGCAATAAAGTTCGGTATTGAAATTAGATAATCAGATTGAACCTGAATTTTATGAAAATTTGAAGGATGTTAGAAAATGTTTGGAAATATTATTTCCTTATTTTATATCAAAGAAATTTGGCTCAAAACAGTGTGATTTTTCAGATTTGGTTGAACAGTGGAAATTTAGTGACTAAAATTCAATTTTCAAAAATTTCATGGACAAAGTGAAAAGTCAAAGTCAAGTTTGTTCATCTTTGACCAAGGAATATTTTAATGGAAGATAATACAATAACATTTGGTAATTTTCAAGTTTCATGAATGGTATTTTTGTAATTTCTCATTAATTGCATATTAAATTCAATTATATTATATAAATGTCAAGTGTTAAGGATATTATAGACTAGAATAATCAAGGGGAAACAACATTTTCAACTCTTTTTCTCTTTAAGGCCGAAACAACCAAGCACCAAGATCACGATAAATCTAACGATCCGAGCGATCCGAAAGAAAAAGGAAAAGCACGTGATTAGGAATATCGCATAAAAGGTTCGGTAGTGAGAAAGGTGAGTGTAATTTATTTATTTAATTATTATAATTGAGGAAGACTTGCGATAAGTCAATCTCATTTTATTTTTTCCATTATGATTTATAAATTTAGTTATGGAATATTTCCAACATATTTTATAACAGTTTTATGAAAAATTTAGGGTATGAACTGCTCAAGCATGATACTCATGGTGGTGAATTTTAAAATGTTTACGATTATTAGACGTTGATTAATCAATGATTTTTATTATGATACATAAGCTCATTGTATGTTGCATTGAGAGTCGTATGTACATTTGGCATGTCATTAGTTGAGTACTTTTGAGGTTATGATTGCACTGAAGTGCATCATATCTCAGTTTCCGTTCAACTATCATGTACCCTATGATCAGCACCGTTGGTGCATAGGTTATGATTGCATTGAAGTGCATCATATCTCAGTTTCAGTTATGATTCGGCAACGTGTTGTGCCTAATGCACACCTTATACTCACGTACCTGGTGTTCTCATACATATGCATTGGGCTATGGTAAAAATGAGTATGAAAGTTCTAATAACTTCCAGTTGACAGAAAACATGATATGATTATTTTATCAGATATTGTTTATCAGGATTTTCTTGAGATCATGAACTAAGATGAATTTCAAGTTCCAATGAAGAAAATTGACTTGGATGAGTTGGTTTGTCAGTTTAATGTTTTATTTAAATTATTTTATTTATGTTTATGATATTTTTATGTTTATCTCACCTTAGTTTATTACTGCCTCACTAAGTTATACTTAGTGCGTGAAGATTTTTATGTATAGGTTCTGATATAGATAAGAACGAGCAGTAAGGAGCCTCCTTAGCATTTTTTTTGGAAGTCACATCTATCATCAGTATCAGTAAGACATCTACGATGTTACTTTTGATTTTTAGTGGCATTTATTTTCGGATTTGCTTCTAAATGGTCTATAATAGTAAACTAGGACCATTTTATTTTGCCGAATTTAGTTTTATCAATATTTATGCGTGAGTTTTATATTATGTTTTTAAATGACTTACGAAATTGCACTAAACGGTCTAATCACTGTTTGACAAACACATTTATTTTCTACGACAAAGTATTAATTTAAATTTAGGAGATTCAGAAAATAGCTTTAAAGTTAAAATATGAGCGTTATAAAATAAAACAAAATTTTAGGTAATTCAATTCAAAGAATATTTACTAAGTTAATGTAATATCTTTAGCTCGTATTTTGAGATGTATACAGTGTTACATTTATGGTATCACCAATATACATTCCATCGTTGGTAGGATGACTTGCAAAAAAGAAATTCCTTATTGATAGAATAGAATGTGACAATAAACACTCCATTCACATTTTTCAATTAATATTTTTGCTTGTCGATGGCACTCACGAGTCATGCCGGTGGAAATTTGGATTGGCTACCTTTGACTTTCGTACTTTTCTTTCAGTCTCAGGCCCAACTCAGCCAATACAACACCGAAATTTTGTCTCAGAGTTTTACTCCCATATATGGTGTGCTCTCAAAAGTCAAATCTCATCAATAACTGGACCATATGCTCCAGCTTAAACCAGATATTCACCCACGTACTTCATTTCGTATCCTTTCTTATACATGCAATTATGATCATGATAAGATTCGTTAATGTGATTATTAAATTTCATATAAATAATCGGAATGACCATATGTTAAACTTGATCTTAGCTTGATTTACGAGAATATGGTAATTATATTTACAAGCGGGAAGCATAATAGTTCTAATGAGGTCGAAATGGCATTGGATTCTATAATAAAGTAGTGGCATGGTGTTTTCTGAGCAGAGCAGATCAGTTTTCACACACGATAAGGCCAGCTAATTAAAAACATGTATCTCTCCATTATGATTGTTATTATTTTATGTTAAGTGAAATTAATATCGCTTCACATGTACAGCTTCACTACCATATGACTTCTTCAGTAGCTTTGAGACATAATCCCCACTATAAATATTGCTTCTTTAACTCTCCTGATAGTAGAACCTTTTCCCCCCCGAGAAACAAAACAAAGAAAAAACGGGGATTCTGAAGAGATCAAATGGGTACTCAAAGGTGGATAAAGAAGACCCAGAGGAGTTAATTCATCGACGAGCTCAGTTCTTGATCTACAAAATGATGGAGCAAGCAGAGTGTAGAAGAAAACCGTCGCTCATACGAATCAGATTGTGTAGGCTAAAGGTGAAGATTGGGAGGAGAATGAAGAAGCTAAGGAAGAGTGCGTTGGTTAGTATTTCGGCAGCAAGAATCGGTGTTTACAAGCAGGTTATGTATCAGATGAAGACATGGCGACGCTTGTTTAACCTTGGCAGCCATCATGGCATCATTGTTCACTTAAAAAACATACGTTGCTATTAGATATAAATTATCTCTTTGCTTTTTGTTGGAATATAAGCATGATTTGTGTTTTCTTCTTTTTGCAATAGCAAGTTTTTTATTCATTGTTCTCATTTTCCTTTCATATATTGCCATTTCCAGCACTTATGTTTAGCTTGCAGGTTAATTTGTACCTTGTTGATTTCTTTTTGAACTCCCAAGGAAGGTGAGGGTTATGAGATTGTGGTCCTCAATCCAGCTAGGTGCATAGAAATCATAAAGATGGAAGCGCAATTAGCTGAGATTTGAGACAGTCTACTCACATGGGTTTCAACTTTCAGCATTTTTCTTATTTACTGAAACGTTGGCCATAAAGCCAGCAAGCACATTCAACTATTGGTGCCTGTGAGTGTTCCATAGATCTAAAAACCAGACAATTTCACGTATTTTCCCATCATGCTTGATTTTTTGACAAGAATTCACATGCTGAAATCCAGCTTTGTCGTTATTACAGCACTTAACATTCCACTAGATTTTTTCCAATTTGAAATTTGTTTATATATGCAAAGACAGGCCCAAAATTGTGTTATAAGATGCTTGAGCTTATTCTAGTTTATGGGTCAGAAGTTAAATAACCTGGAGCTTGCTTAATAAGCAGAAAAAGCTTGGTTCAAAAGCTATATACGGATTAGTATTTGGGCTAATCTCTCGGCTTAGTGACTTGGATTTCCAAAGGCCGAACTGGAAAAGTTTTAATCCGAATCCAACTGGGCAGTGAGCATGGCTTTCCTCGGATTGTTTTGAAACGCATTATGCATCCAAATTCCAAATAGCAGGAAGAACTTCATACTTTAAAACAGATCATGGCACGTGCTTTATTTTACTTTATTTCAAGGCTAATCTTGCGCATGAAAGAATAATTCACAACTGCTAGTAGCCGGTAAGCAAACCATTTGATGATGGTACGAGCCCAATGTCTCGGTAGGTGTAGCAGCATTCATCGGGTCGTTCAGATTGTGGGAGCTTTACTGGTTGCCATCAATAGCTTTAGTTTGGTGGACTTATCGTAAGTGGTGGACAATCAATTCGATGCGTTTCATTTACCAGCAAAGCTTAATGATACCTTCAACAATCAGTTCTTAAGAAGAGGCTTGCTCTTGTCTTCCCATATGTCCAGCCGCCTTCTGGTAATCTCCACCTGAATTTTCGGTTGGTGGTTTATCAATTCCGAGGACATAAACTTTAAACAAATTTAGAGGGTCGGATGTTTCGAAGGGACTTGCCTCTTTGTTCCAATCTGTTGTGAATGTCACCCACAATAAAATGAGGGTTTGCATCAATGTTCCTCCAATCATCCCGGACCATATTCCCTGCTCAAAGATAGGGAAAAAGAGTATTTATTTACCAATATATTATAATGGAACCGAATGCCTCGAACTTTACCTTTGCACCGAGGTTGTACTTAAAGCCGAGGACACAGCCCAATGGAATCCCAACAACATAATAGCATCCCACGTTTACATAGGCTACAAATGCTTGCCATCCACATCCAACAGCCACCCCTGCATGAATCAGATTTCGATTCATTTTTACAAACTTGGGACCTCTAACCTGGTGGCTGAAAATTTTCTTACCAGACAAGACTGGTTGAATCCCGTTAAGAATAAGAGTGACGGCCAAGAATGGGCATAGCTTCGAGACTGCATTCGCCACGGTGTCTCCCTCAGTAAATGCGTAGCTTATAACGTCTCGTAGAGCTAAAACAATGATAGCTTCCGCAACAGCAATGATGAAGGAAATCAAAGTCACAACGGCAACCGTGAATGCTGCCGACTTGGGATGTTCCGCTCCCAACTCGTTGCTGACCCTAACACTGTTTTAACCGAAAGAGAAACAATCGCAGGATTTGATCTTAAATCATTTGACTGAAATCAAAGGGAGTACTTTATTTTGGGTGCTTTTGTTAGTGAAATTGAATAATGAAATTTTAAAAGTGACGAACCTTGCAGCTGCATTGAACCCAACTGAAATCATGAACATCAAACCAGATATAGACATGCTGCACCCATAGCAAATGATCAAAGTAAACCTATAAAGCATTCAAATCTAGAAAGAGATAGCAAAAGTGAAAAGAAAAGTTTAATCTGCGTTTCACGACGTAATCAATTTCATGGAATTTAGCAGCAGCATGGTATCTAAAGTTTAAAGCAAAAGTGAATTTTTTAGACGATAAAGAATAATAGGATGAGCGCTTTAAATTATCACACGCGTATTACCAAATTGAAAGGGAGTCCAATGCAAGCTCGGGATTATCCAGCAGACCGGCGATCAAAACAAGTATCTGGAAGTACCAAGTCTCCAAGCACAGCATAACGGCCGAAGCAGCCGATAGTTTCAAGAAATCCCAAAGCCCAGAAAAGGCCTGCAAACTCAACCCGGACCATGTAAGCTTACACTTGTCACTCATCTTAATGTACACCGCCTGGGCCACCACTATGATCCACCACGATAAGCTGAGCACCAGAGATGCACCTATCAAACCCAGACCAATCTTGTATACTGCCAACCAACTTAGCAGAAGGTGCACCAGAAGCGTGGCAGCTGATATGAATGCACTCGGATTCACAATGCTTTGTGATTGAAGAAACTTTTGTATTGGGAAGTTCACAGCGTAAGCAAAGATTTGTGGGATCAAACCATAGACAAAAACAGCAGCAGCAGATGCAACTTCCGGCGGTTCGCCTAGTAGGATCAAGATTGGCTTGGAAAACACATAGGCCAACATCAGTGGGATCCCTGTTAAAGTAAGGACAATGGTTGATCTCTGAAGATAAACCCCTAACATGCCGTATCTAAGCGCCCCATAAGCTTGTCCGCATAGAGTCTCCACTGCACTCCCCATTCCTAGCTGCAAAACGTTAGTTACCCTAGCCTAATTAGATAAATAAACTTATAAAGTGATCGATGAATGTCTCGAATATTAAAAAGAATCAAGTATGTTAAATGTCAGTAAGTACCATGAGGCCATAAGCAAGGAGTTGGATGCCGCTGTTGCCAAGAGAGGCAGCGGCGAGCTCAAGATTGCCTAGATGACCACAAAAGACACGAGTGGATAAGGACATGGCGTTATTGATTAAATAAACAAAGACCGCCGGTGCCGCTAGGCGGAAAAGGAGCTCCATTTCAATCAACAAGGCCAATCGGAGACGCCTGAAGAAAGGCAGCTCGGTGTCTGACAAAACATTCTCGAGCCTAGAGTCCACTTCATGGCCATGACCAATTCCAGATGAGTCGTGTGAGGGTGGCTGCTGCCGATCATCATCATCAGGCAAGGAGTTATTCAAGATTGGGAGATTCAGCTCCTGTTGGGAATCCATTGTTTTTCCTAGCAGTTCCAGGCTATGGTTGATTGTATTCAGAGAAATTATTGATTGATCTTAAAGGAAATGGTACGGAATTAGAGATAATTGTTGTCGATATTCATAGAAGGTTTTATCTGTGCATTTAGGTGATGGATAATCGATGCCACTTGCCATCGTCAGGATTCTTTCTCAATCGATTTATGGCTGAATGAATGAATATTAATGAGATTAGAATACTTCCGAAAAAACTATGCCATTTTCTTCCACCACCATGTTACTACTATACATTAAATGGCTGATTGGTACGTTTTTTTAAATTAAAACTTAAATATGTAAAAATATTATTAATTACCATTACTTTTACCATTTAACTTACTTTTTGTAATTTAATTTTATTGATTGAGTAGCTTTAATTATTAAAAAAATGTTTTTTATTTGAGATTTTGAATTTAAATAATTATGTATATGAAGTGTGTAATTATTAATTAACAAGGTAATTAGCGTTTGTTTCTCTCTCTCTCTCATTATCACGTATAAATAGTAAACGTTTCTTTTTAGTCCACAAAGTCCATTTTTATTGATAAAGAGATAGACCACGAAATGATGTCAAATTATTGTAGTCCTAGTTACTATCACAATTATTCATATATAAATATTTAATATAAAATTATTTATCAGAATCAACCAACTTAAGTAATTATTTACCACGAAATGATGTCAAATTATTGTAGTCCTAGCTTTTTTTAATGATTTATATATTTACAATTTTCCATATTTCCATATTTTTCAGTTTTATAATTTTTAATAATGGATATATATATATTATATATATATATATATATATACTAATATGAGAAAAATAAAACTAATATGTAAACCTTCAAATTAGACATCCTACAAAAGACCAAAACAAAATAAGGATAAGTCGGAGTAAAATATCATTTTCGTTGAAAATGAATTTTAAAAGATGAAAAATAAAATTTGGTGATAAATATAAACTATATTATAAGCTTTGGTAAAATATAAAACGCACTACATAAATGTTGACTTTGTACGATTATATATATGATTCTGATTTGATTCATTTTTATCAACCACTAATATAATTATTGACATAATATTATTTTATCGTATATATTATTTGTACAAGTAATTATAACTACATAAATTATATTAATGTGTCGTTCCTTAAAATTCCCGTTACTATGATAATGAAAGCAAAAGTAATGTCAGTGTCACGTACCCCCCTTAATTGGAATCAATTATTTAGCTTAAAAATAATGAGTGTTGTGGCTTTAGGCGAAGTCCACAAACCAAATTACCAAAACGGTTGAGCTTTATTTATTACTATATTATAGGCAACTCTACGACATAGTTGCGGGCTTTATTATAGAATAAAAATTTAAATTATATTTTTTTAATTTTATTAGATTTCATTTTTAAATTATTTGTTATAAATATTAGATCTTATTAATAAATTCTTCAAATTTTGATATTTTTCGTTGGTACTCATCACGTCGTTATAAGTAAAAGGTTTAATACTAATATTAGTGTTCAAATTATATTGTTTTTTCACAATATGTTTCTAAACTATTTTTTTACTCATCTAAGTGTCTAATGTTACAAATGTTACCATTTCAGGTGTCTTGACACGTGTCACAATCTTAAAATTTTAAAATTTTATTTTCTAAAAAAAACCATCTCGTATGCATGTCCCACCCATTTTCCTCCCCTTCCTTGCAGTGTTCGTGATTTCATTTTTTTCATGGCCAAACAACCAAAGTTCAAATGACCGACCAAATGGTCAAGGGTGGCCGATTTCCATAGTCGGAGAAAACAGTTAATTACCATGATCGATCAAAGGGATTTAAGAGATTGAGTATTTTGGATTTTAGGGATAAGAGATTTGGAAATTTTAGGTTTTGAGTTGATAACAAGAGTTATGACCAATCAGTGGGTGGTCAGAGACGTATGGGTGGCCGGTCACCGACGGATATGTTGTGACACCCAAATCCAGTTAGACTAGAAGATCCATGTATTACAATGTTACATGGGACTACCAAAATAGTGAACCAAATTTTTCTTAAAAATTCTTGTAAATATCTGAAATTTAGACATTCATAATGTAATATAAAAACATGATAATAAATTGGGTTTACAAATAATGGGGAGCTCCCAAAATACATCCACAAAATAATACAAAATATTGGGTTTCAAAAGAGTTACGACTAAATACATAACAAGGTCTATCTAAAGATGATTCAAGACATACTCTGAGAGGTCTCTTGAAACATGCTCTGCTTCACTGGAATATCTTATGATGATAACTCCCCACAATCTGCCACTAAGAACCTACACATGGAAACAAATTCCGAACAGTAGCTTACGAGCTCAGTGCCTCACTAAAAATTGTACTATATTATATGCATTCACTACATGAAATGGCAAGTGGAACAAGTCTAAGTATACAACTACTGGACTGCTAATATGAGGTTTGTATCATGGTGCGGCTGAGGGATTCTGTATCTCGAAGCTCACGCATCCCTCTAGCACTGCCAAAGCACCATCGGGTACTCCTAGGTGAGATCTGGAATTTTACATCGGAACGTACACCCACCGACTTACTCTGTAACATCCCAAAAGTCGGGTCAATGACCAAAATAGAATTTTTGGTAATTTAGTGACCAGTCTCAGAAGAGATTGAAAGTTTAGGGATTTAAATGAAAAGTATTGATGTTGGATTTAAATAACAAAGCTTGAAGTAACAAGGGTATTATGGTCATTTTTCAGGAAAGATTTTTATTTCCCTTTATAAAGGGTAATAAGCACATGGGAATGAGATAATTTCTCCAGAGCATTCTTCAGTCTTCTTCTTCTTCCTTCCGTATCTCCAAGCTCAAATGTGAGTTTCTTTGCTTGTGGATTAATTATTGATGTTAAGGTTGGGTATGATCGTTAGAGGATAATTAAGCTTAAGAAAAGCTTAATTTGTTCTAAAACAACAAGATGAAAGATATAGAAGAGATTAAAGAAAATGAGTGTTTAAGTGAATTTTTGAAATAGAAGGAGTTAATAGATTTTGAAGTTGAATTTGACTTGTCAAGGGTTAAATTAAGATATGTGAAGTGATAGAATGAGTTTTAAAACATGTTGAAAATCTGGTATGATTCTTGAAGTTAATGAAGAGGAGAGGATATTAAGGTTAAAGAAGAGATAAATGAATATAAATGAGTTTAAACATGTATATGCAAGTTAAGAATAAGAAAGGGGATGATATATAAAGTAATTAAGCTTAAAAGAGTGGCTTTTCAGGTATAAATTGGAATTCTGGGCTATGTGCATCGATGCACATTCAATGTGCACCAATGCATCAAGGGTAAATCCCAGAAATTGTTCAAGGTGTATCGATGCACCTGAAGTGCATCGATGCACTCTTCTAAAATACGAACATCGAATGCCATCAGTGCATCGATGTAGAAGTAGTGCATCGATGCACCCCCTTAAATGTAAACATCGAATAGGATTTATGCATCGATGCAGGGTGTGGTGCATCGATGCATACCTTCATTAAAATATGAAAATGACTCTTCTTTTAGCCCAAGAAATGATAGTTTAGAATATATTAATATACTGATTAGTATCAATAAATTACTATGTAGATTCAGAGCCTAAACAAGTTCCGAAACTTGGAAAATAAGATCGATCAAGGAAAAGATAACAGATCGGTATTGACTAGTAAGACCAGGTGAGTACATGATATTAAGTGTACATGATGTTTATGGAATTAAGACTTGCGATGAGTCTAATTCCGATAATAGATGACATGAGTACAATAATATAAGTATAGTATGATATAATGTTTAAGAGTACCTGAGAATGATCCTGTAATACTATGGTGCTAGAAGTATATGAGTAAATGCATAGGTTTAATTGTCGAATGTATATTTGTATGTGAACCTTGTGAATGCATGTATGTGTGATAATAGGTTATATGATCATAATAGATAATATATATGATAAAAATAATTGTGAAAGTGATATGACTCATATGTGTTTCTATGAGAACGTTACACGATATGCTATGTATGTTATATGAGTGATGTGAATATATGTTATGAGATAAGAATCATAATTATGAGCTATGTGAAAAAAAGAGAATACAAGTACAAGTGGAAAGTTATGTGATACGTGAATGTGAATTTCATGGAAAAATGCTACGTGAAAGTAAACTACGTGACTATGTGATATGAATATGTGAATGTGTAATGAGGTAAAAGATAATGCCCATGTCATGTGTTATGAGAGTTATAGGTATAGTTGGCATGCCAAGAGTCGAGGGTCTACGCGGTCCTTTGGGACATAGGGGTCCTTTGGGACATATGTGTTATATAAATGGTCCTTCGGGACATCTACGTGGTCATTCAGGACAAATTCTACGCTCCCCTAGTGGGAATTATACGAGCTGTGGTGACAGCATAGTGCACAACCTCTATGTACTCACATACCTTAAGTTCTCAGTAGTGTGCATGGGCTAACCAAAAAGATAACGATAAAATGTGAGTTGCAATGAGAAATGTGTTACATGTTTTATATGATGATATATGTGAATGTGTGTATATGTTACAGGAAAGAATGTGTGTTATGGGTTATGGCATTTGTTATGGGATGTACATGAATATATGTTAAGGTATATATATGAATGAATATCAAGGACTCATATGATGATGTAAGAACATGTTATAAGATATAGAATATGCAAATAAGAGATCATATGAACAAGAGATAAGAGATAGAAAGGATAATCATATAAGAGTATGAGAAAATATAAATGGTGACATGCATGTGTGTATGTAATTGTTACATGAAAAAGTATGTATATCAATATGACGTTGTATTACATGATATGTACATGCATTTGATAATTTACATATGTATTTATATGTCTCACTAAGTGTATGACTTAGCGTGTGAGTGTTTCACACATAGGTTCAGGAAAGCAGGAAGAGAAGCTAAGAGGAGCAAGACAGGTTAGTTTCTCCTTACCGAAGGTCAGATCAGAACCTAAATGAATAACATGTATTTTGTTATATATAGAATTTAGTTGGCATGTAATTAAAAGATTTGTATTAGATACGCTCTGATCAGTTTTGTAAAAGTATATGTTTTATATCATAGAAAATA